CGAGAGAAGTCCACACACACACACACCCGTGCGCGTCGCCTCGTTCAGTTCAGCGTCAGATATTCTTTTGTCTCCGTCCTTGCTGTCTCTATCAATCTCAGCTTGAATCGAAGGCAAGCTGTCATCGCATGTTGAGCAACTGATAGGTGCAGGCAGGCTTCTGCATCCAGATAGAGCTTGACCATCTTCCCTATTGTCATTCCTACTTGGGACCGGGCTGTCGTTTGCATCCTGATCACACGAGCCTTCTCTGCTATTGCTCGAACACAACTCGAAAAAGCCCTAGCAAATCTGTAGCTGCGGACAGGCATCACCTTTATTTCTTTCATGGCACGGTCGACGTCGTGTCCAAACCTGCCTGGGTTTCGTAAGCTTGAGGGTGATGATGCAACAAAACTGTGGATTGTGCCGTCCGAGACCGAGGTGCGGTCTATCTCGTCGAAACCTTTCTGGGCTCTCCGCAAGTCTCTGACCTGTCAAGTCACCGACGAATCCTACCGTCTGTTGCGCACCGGCGTCCCCAAGCACTTTTGCACGGACCTGACCTGCTGAGCCTCGTTGTCCAGATTCTGCTGGTAACCTGGCGGCTTTGTATGGGGGCATGTCGTTATGTTGCTGCCAACGTTTCCATTATAATCCCCTGCAGCGCTCCCGAGGCACCTGCCCTCCCTCTACCAAAATGCCTGCTGTTCCGGTTGAGACAACTGGTTGACGGTTCTTTAAGACGACATACCTTCTGCGGTCCTCAATCCTAGCTACATTAGCTAAACACGCCCCATGAACGCAGCCTGTGGATTCTATTCTTCGGGAGCTCGCAAAGCCAAGACAGTCAAGCAGCCTTCATTGTTTTTCTTGAGCTCTTCCACCTTTCAGCGGCACCCCATAGTGAGTCATTGTTGACAGAGGGGGGAGAGAGGGAGGGAGGAGGGAAGGAGGGAGGGACAGAGAGAGAGAGAGAGAGAGAGAGGGAGAAAACACAAGAAGAACACCAAAAACCAATGTCCATGTCTGCGGCACGGATCTGAAAAGCTCAAGCATGCCGCCTGCTCATGCAGGAGGAAGTAGGTGACGATCAAATCCGAGTTCATCATCAGAAAAACCTGAGCTGCATTACGCGAGGCAACGCAGGTTCGACTCTGGCCAAGACATCCACCAACTGAGACAACAACGGCAACACAAGAGCAACAACCAGCAGCGGCACTTCCACAGCTTGCTTGTGCGGCACCGAAGAACTGATTGCAAGTCACAACTGCGAGGGTGAGAAGAAATGGAATCGCAAATGCGATCAGGGTTCGCCACAGCCAAATAGCAGCGTGCCAGTGATGGGTCTCACAACTCCAGGCTGCGGCACCAAATACATCCATGTTCCCACTGCAAATATGACCACCTGAAAGAATCAATTTCGAATTTCAAGTGCCCTTCCAGGAATGCGACCAGCCAAGTTGCTGAAAAGGCATAAACAACCTCAGCTTCGGGGTCAGAAGATGCTGGGCAGAGGGTTTGCCGGCAGTGCAAACTCTGACGGGGTCGCAGCTGGTTAAGCCCCTCGCGTAGTAAAGGGCATTCAAATCATCCTTCTTTCTAGCTGAAGCATCATCGTCACTGCTCTGTCCGTCCTCTGCACCCAGCTTCTGGTACGAAGCCTCAGCAAGGTGGCCAACCAAAGAGGCACCACGTGTAGCAAACTTATGCCAGGCTGCACCGCCCCCGGACAAGAAGTCCAACACCCAGGAGGCAGTCACGATCAGGAAGGGCAGGCAAACTGCGCCTGAAACCGTTGTAAGCCCGTTCTGCAAGAGAATGTTCCACCGGATGTGCCTAAAAACATCTGGACCGTCGCCAACGTAGCCTTCGGGGCCGGAGCAGATGCAATCACATTTAACTCAGCACATGCTCAGATGGTGCTCGGCGATCTTGGCGAAGTACACGGAGGGTAAGGGCAACCAAGCCACAAGACCGGAGGATCCACCGCTGCAAGCCGCTACGTGCACCGCATCTTTGTAGTGCTGGTATAGGTTGGAGGGCTTGAGGACTGATTCCTAAGTGACTCGCTTTGGCAAGCAACATGCTTTTCGATTTTCGGCTGCAGGCCATGTGCAGCAAAGCCTCGCTGACATTTAGGCTCAGTTCCAGTTTGGTAAGATCACCGTACACTCGTTCAGCTTCCCACTTGGGGCATGTCTGCGCGAGTGCGTTCCTTGGCAGGCGGCAAGGCGGTTACCGGCAGATCACACAGTCTTCAATCGTCTTGGAACGAAGTCCAAGCAGCCGGTACTCATCCAGCCAGCTGAGGCTGTTGGCGACTGATTTCTGAGCCGACTGGAGGTGCTGAGTCACGGGGTTCTTCACCTCACCTACAATCGAAAAACGATGTCTGCAGTTTGCCTAATCCGCAAATACCCCATGCACTCGCGCCTGTGAGATAGTACTCCGCGAACCCGTAACTGCTAGAGGTCTGCCCAGCCGTCCTTAGCAGTGGATGAGGGTCTTTGGGTCTTTCAGGCCTTGCCATTCCGCCGTGTTGTCAATTTGCAATCGAGCTGCTGTGCCGTCAGTTCGAGAACCTGCTGGTCTGGGCCACCTTCATGTAATGCGGTTCCGAAACTCGTCGACAGCTGTTGGTTAAGTTTGCCATCAGCCAATGTGCTTCGGGTGCTTTTCGACAGTGGGCTAGCTGAGCAAACCCCGCCTTCCGCCCTGCAAAATCCGACGATGCTGCCGGCAGTCGACAGTTCGACAGTGGCCGCGACGCACAGCAGCAGGATAGCCACCGAGGCACACACAGGTAAAACAAGAGTCAACCTGAGCTGTAAGTGACCTCTAGCACTCGACTCGCCGAAAAACCCAGAAGGTCTTGATGAGATTTTGAAGACGGACGGGCCGAAGCACACTCTGGGCGAAAGCTTCTTCATGAGGTGGTTGTTGACCGTGGCATTTTTCGAGGCCAGGAAGTAGATGCCCACCTGGGCGGAGGGCGAGCTCCGCTTTGTAGCGCCTGCTTCGTCCCTTGAGGCACCAACCGCCAAGCCACAGACCAGCACCGCAATGAGGCTCAGCCCTGCTAACAAAGGGAGCCTCAAACAACGACTTTGAGGAGACGCCGACTTTGGACACATGACGAAGTCCCTGCAGGACCAGCGGCCATCCAGACATCTCACTGATTTCGAAGGCCGCATTCTGCAGCAGCCCTGGCAGGTCCTGCAAAGCTTTGACCTGCGACAGAAATCTCTGCGGACGGGCATATGTCTGTGGGTTCGTACGGACCCAACGCATGTGGACCGGACTCGGACCGAGCTTGGGACCGTGAGGCCGGCTTCCGTCTTGGCAGCAGCGATGTGCCCCTTCGCTTGCGAGACGGAGGATCCGAGCATCTTCTCGATCGCAGGGGGGCAGATCTCAAAGAGCCCGTCCCTTAGGGCACGGACTTCTACCATGGCATGGAATGTTCGTTGGCATGCACCCAAAAAAAAAGGCTTGCTGAGTCTCAGGTCTTTCTTGACCGTACCCGCTGCTCCCACCACGCCTTGCACCTAAGATTTGGAATCTCGAGCACAAGACTCCGGCACCCGACTCTCTTTTCTGGACCGGCTCTGTGCAAAGACTTCCAAGTTCCCGCCCCGTCTCTCTGTACCCCCTCTATACTGGGCATCCCCCACGGCTCATGTGCCCCAAAGTTTGTTTACACATGCAAAGGCGATGCACCACCACATCTCCGCACGTCACAATTGCACACGAGACAGGAAAATTATGCCAGAATCAACATGCTTCAGACTTCAGACACATCCTCGTCTGACATGCATATGGGATACAGCTGAATAATATCCTTCTACATGTGTATTATATGTGTACATACTTATTTCTTCACGCATCTGCAGGCCGAACCCAGGTCAGGGCGCTAGCACGTCAAAACCCTCGTCTGCATCCATCTGTCTATCCGTTCAATAATTTCTCCCTCCTTCTTTCTTTCGGCACGGAGTTTTTGGCGTTTACCTTGTCCGTCTGTCTAGCTCTTTCTCTGGCGTCTTTTGCACCAAGGAGCGTCTTGCACACATGTTGCTATGTCCTGAGAGAGCGTCATGACTTCCTTGGAAAAGTCATGTCGCGTCTTTAACTGGATTGGCTCGGCGACATCGTAACGCTCACTAACAGGAATCTGCCGCAACTTCTTCCAGCAAGATGCAGCAGAAGCCCAAGAAAATGCACTGCCACCAAATCCAGACGAGAAGTTCACTGCACAACTGAGCAGCATTACCGCCTCAGGCAGAACTAAGGCGGTGCCTAGCGAGAACTGGAATGACATGCAGGCTCGGCAGGATACAAACCTCTCGCTCTGCATAAGGCAAGCGCTGTTAAACTTGCTGCCACCGCGAAAGCACCCCAATAGAGATGTGCTTCCTGCAAGTGATGTGGTTGCCACTAGCTGCAGCAGGAGTCGCAAGATCTGTGCACTGGCCATGCTTATGGGTGTGTACGTGGTACGTGTACTCCATGTATGCATGCGTGCAAACATCCATGCATGCCTGCAACATGCGTGCTGTGGTCTCGGCCCGCGTGGCAAAAAACCCTGGCACATCGAGGCACAGGGCGCGACTCACTCCAACTACCAGCCTGGATCCCAGGAGCAGACGGCATTTTCAGCCCGAAGAAAGGTCGTGGGACGGCATCGTTGGCGTACACCTAAACTCTTGGCAAGTCGAATTCCACACACTCTTCAGAGTAGCCATGCAATCATATGATATCATATGCAATCATGGCGCATAGATCAGCGCAGCGCTGACCGCCAAGCCGGTCAGCAAGCAAAGAGTCTGCCTCAAATTCGTGGGGTCGTTTGTGCTCCTGAAAACTTCGATGTTGAATGCAATGAATTGCAGGGACGCCGCCAAAGCAAGCTGCCACCGGCAAGTAAGAAAGGCCAAAAGCCTTCCAGGGTAAACTGCTCCACCCAGGGCTCGCTCACACCTCGGAGTGCCAGAGGGGACTTAGCCGACTTAGCCGGTTTAGCTTAAGCATGCTCAGGTGGCACATGCAGGTGGATGCCTGGTAATACATTGCCTGGCAGATGTTTGCATGGTGCTGCACTTTCCAGGTATCAGCACCATCTGTCTTTTTGCGCGCGATTGCAGGCTTCCTGAAGCAAATTCACGGTTCTGTTTGCCCTTCAGGCAGCGTCAACGGCGCGAGTGATTCCTCGTCGGGCCTCAAGATCCTATGCGGCCAAGAATCATTTGCAGGGCCTTGAGGAGTCTGAGCACCTTGTGATTGCGGGCCTCTCTCACGGACTTGGCCTTGAGGGCCCCGTGAAACCGGACAGGTCATGTAACTAGAGAAAGAACTTCGGCACAGTGGACACTTCTCGTCTCGCAAGGAGCGTAAGCAGGAGTGACAAACCGAGCAGTGGCGGCAGGGTAGCAGAACCACATTCTTGGGACGCGCATAGCAAATCATACAATCGCTTTCGCCCGCATCTTCGAAGCCAAAAATGCCCTGAACATCGAAGACAATGTTTGAATCGCCAAAGCAGAACTGTCGAAAGATTTCAGCTGTGTGGTAAGGCGAATTGCCCTCGTTGTGTGTTCTTGATTGAAACTTGACCAAGGATATCTGGCCTCTGGTCTCGAGCACGGAACGGCCTTGCATTGCATGCGCTGCGTTGCCAGACCCAGACCGACCCGATGAAAGAACGACAATAGCAAGTGGAATGATTGCTGGAAGCTCTGCTGCATTTCCCGACTGCCCGGGCCGAAGCCAGGATGCACCCATGTCAAACTTTAACACACCAGGATGAATCAAATCTCCAGCTGGTGTAACGTAGCGCTGTCCACAACCGGCAGGCAAAAAGAAATCTCGCGACTGTGCAAAGAAACTGCTTGAAGTGAAAGGAGGTTCTTCGTTTGCATCACTTGCGGAAGGCTGGCTAGCAGTCCAAGTGCTTGCAGAAGTCTCCGCTGCTCCGGACGCAGCTGCACTTCCGAGTTCCTCCATCTCAAGGAGTGACCTTGTTGTCTCTGGATTGGCACATGCAGTTCGACCTGTCCATCGCCCTCGTAGGCTTCGCAGTGCACTGCTTGTGCTGGCATGCCGCCTGCTAGAGTGCTCAGGTGCTTGGCTACGCTGCACAAACTCACTGCAAGCTTGTGCACTTAAGCCCCAGTACAACCTTACACAACAAGGTGCCGAAGCATCGATGTCGAATTCAACGCCAAAGCCCATTGGTCCGCCCCCCGAGTCCTCTTCACCTACCCACAAGCAACTGATTGACTCGGGGTGCACGTGGGTCGTGAGCTCATGTCTGGTCACTGGCTTCGGTGGCACAGTCCTTCGTAAGCGGAGGATTTGGTTGAAATGCTGACGGATCAGCATCTGGAAATCATTTACGTAAATGCTCATCGCTTCCAACTGCAAGGACCGTGCTCTTGACAGTCGGACATTCAGCTCGACTGCTCGAGCAAGTTGGTACACAACCTTCGCAACCCAGGCCGCGACCAGGGTGAGAATTCCGAACACGAACACATTGTGAAAGTCTCTGTGCAGCTTGTCTGGCTTTGGGGCCAACTCTGTGGATGCAAAAGCTCCACACAGGCATGCCGTCCAAGCTATAAACAACTGAGCCCTGTTGCCCATGATGCGCTGGAAACTGCACCAGGCTCTGTGGATTAGGGCAACATGCTACGCGAGTGGCATTTACTCCACTATCTAGGCCTCCAGCCAAAAGGCCTGCGGAAACACAGTGCGCTTCACTTGAAGATCTGTGTGATGACAGCTTCTGAACATCAGACTGAAACACCCTAGCCAAGGCTCTTGGAGAGCTTGTCATGGCTGGAACCACGACGAACTATGCCATGTCTGATGTGATGTGTCGGATAATCTTAAATCTTAAGTCCTGAGTATACTCTTTCCTGATACGATGAGGCTAGGCCGTGAGGAGTTGCCCATTAGTTGTACGCTCGTCTAGGCCGGACCATGCGAGATCGGGCATCAATCTGATTGAACTCCTTATTCTTTTCCGCATATGAAGACCCGGTCAGGGGGTGAAAACTTGCTTGTTCAAACTGTTGGGGCATGTTCGGGCCATTTCGCAACTTAAGCCAGCTAGAAACACCGAACATCCAAGAGCTGGATCCAGAGCAGTGATGGTCATCAAAGAAACTGAGTCAGAAGAGCGCCTGCAAGATTTCGGGCGCTAGCTGGTCCTGATAGGCGGAAGATGCACACGAAGCACCCAACACACACACACACAGAGACGGACAGAGAGAGCTCTATCCCTCTCTCTCCTTCTTCAGCACAGTCAAGGGAAGACGC